AACATGATGTTCTTAAAATTCCATGATGGGCCTTGACCTAGAGTGGTGGTCTTTACTACTGACCCTGCACCGTTTATTACAAATGTTAGGAATTGAATGTTTAAAGCAAATCTGATTGGTTAATATATTGATTGGTAATTGATTATATTTTTGGTGTTGTCTATTTAAAATTTAACACGTGAACTCTCTTAAGGACTTTCAATTCTAACTGGCTCAATCGCTAAATAATACTTAACTGGAAATGTGGACCCTTTAAAAGGGTGGTATATCGACAATCCATACGCAGCTGAATATCAGCTATGTCGACTCTACAAAATGCTGGCGGACACATTCGCACAATGCCATCTGAGACTCAGGAACAAGCTAACCTGATATTGCTGTAAGATATTCCCGATGGATATTTTATTCCTGGAAAAACAACCCTTTTCCTTATCTGGTTTAAACCTTGCCGGAAGCTGACTGTCCGTGAAGGTTGTTTGACCTTTAGACTAAAGGCCACCCTGGCTCCATTGACGACTTGTTTACACTTGTTTACTACTAGCAGATCGTCAAGTGAATAACGGAGGAGATTCTGCGTTATTAGAAATTTGCTAAACTGAAAGTAACCAACACAGAGCGATCTGATCTCGGTAATATTCGAATTCATTGTCAAAAACTGTACCTAACAGCTTCTGAATCTTTGAAAAAAAAATCTAGTCCTTTGAGAATGAAAAAAAGAATCCCTCGAGAGTTAAATAATCCCATATCTTCATCACGTTAATGATGAAGCAGATGTTACAAATATTATCACCAAATTCAAGAATTATACTTGATAACAGATTCATACACAAGATATCATAGACAAATTGACTTATTAGCCTTTTCGTGTTCACTGTGGAAGCCTTGGTCATTAAAAAGTATTAAGGCACGCGGTGAATGCCAAGGGGAAGTCACAATCTGCAGACGTTCATGATATTTCCCGTCAAAAATATGACTTTAAATCAGCTTGGTCATACAGAACAATAGGTTATTGAACAACGACAAATCATTGATTTTCAAGTGATTCATGGTGAGTATTTCTATTACCAGTAAAGATGAGTACTCCCTAGATCTATCAAAACAGGGGCTCGTTTAACAAAAACTGTTAAGATGATTTAAGCGTCTCAGTTTGGTCGGTGAATACAGTCGATTTAAAATCACTATTTATCGACCAGTTAAATAGCCGTATTTCTAAAAACCATTTTATTATCTCAGTTAAAATAATATTGTGAACTAAGTATCGGTTGTCATAAGAGTGAACGCAAGAACAAGTCTAAAGCTTCGGTTTTATTATTATTATTATTATTACTTGTTATTATTTTTATTATCACTATTATTATTATTATTACTTGTTATTATTATTATTATTATTATTATTATTATTATTATTATCACTTGTTATTATTACTTGTTATTGATAATTATTATTACTTGTTATTATTTCTTGTTATTGTATTAAAGATTTTCCCTTTTAAAATTAGTATTGTTCATTGCCTTTTGCACAAAGCCTCGATCCTTAATAACATTAAGAACCTTTACCCAATGATCTCAAAACAAAGGACGAAACTACACAGCTATATCATAGCGATCTAGCTTCCCGGTCATTAAAATAGATCCTTTTAGTGACAAAACCACGGATGAATGTTTTAGTGCTATACAGTTATTTGACGCGGCTGAAAAAGCAATATGACTAGTGTATCTTTCTGATCATTAAAAAGGATCTGGTAATTCGATTGGACTTAAGCTTCACTGTATAAGAGTTGACTGACCTGGACTTCTCAGCACCTCAGGACCTATTGTTATTGATTCTAATCATTAAAATGATTGAAATAACCTAGGAACTTCAGCTTTAGTATATAAGAATTGACTGACCACTGTCTTAGAAATGACCTACAGTCATAAAGCTGGATTCTACCATCTTAAACCCCAGAACAAAAGAAAAGACTCAATTATGACAAGTCTGTAAGTCCAGGCGATTATAACACGTGCAGTTACGCTACAGGACATCCCTTTATTATTACAATCAATTCCATTATACAGGACCGGAAGTACACTCAATCACGTGATCTAATTAAAATGGCGCCGATCGATACTGGCATGAATAGAAATAAAGTATTCGGTGACCTTTTTACCCCAGGAGACATGAAACATCACTCAAGAGATTGAATTGTATCGGAAATATATTTTAAAATTCCTGATAGGATAATAAATAGCCCACTGATATTTTCGATTCATACTGGCTATAGTAACCATACGATATATAATGAAATGAGATTGAATTTTACGTCCATTTTAAAACTGATGAAAGCAATTTCAAGAGGGGGGAAAGTAATTTATTTGGAAAAGGGGGATGGGGGGAGAGGGGATGTATGTGTTTAGTTGCAGTAATTGATCGCCATCAATCAATTTTTCGGGTTCCTCCCGACTTCCCTCCCTTTGGTTTGTATTCTTTGATCTATATATAAAATGTAACAACTATTTAAAGACGTTACTACACGACATTGCTTGATCCTGCAGTTCTACCAGTTCTACACGAAGTAAGGACCAAGATAATTTGGTTTTCACTCTGTAAAAATAGAGTGAATCAATTACTTACTCTTTACAGAGCAACACGAAAACTTCTTAATAACAATATGAATAAACCTCACTGCACATTCAATATTGGCCACATAATAGTTCTCAAAACATCTTAAAAATCACAAGACGAGGTGCCTCCAAGGCACGTTCTCAAAGCGGTGATCATCGAGAAAATACAGGTTTTAGCGAACTAGACTAAACTATCAATTTTACCATTGGCATTAAAATCGTCTCTCAATTCATCTCTTTCTTCAAAGGACTTCCTCAGCTGGAAATTATGGCACTTTCTACTTGTCAAGGCTTTCAAATGTCTTGTGTTAAATTGAACTTCCATCGGATTTAAATTTTCCATTAGCTTGAAGAAAGGATGACCTGTGATTAATCGACGATTCTGGATCAACTGCCTTGACATGTCAATAACGCAACCGGAAATAAACTAAAATGGAGATTTACGTCCAACTGTATTCCAACATTTTGGGCTAATGAATTGATTTTTAACTTCATCTTAAAAACTTCCCTCAGCTAAAATCCAGGTTTTTAAAAGATTCAGTCATCTGATTGGATTATAAAATAAGGTTTAAAATTGATTCAAGTTATCGAGAAAATAAATACAGTTTTATGTCCTGCTGTTGTGTACCGTATCGAACTAATGAAATAAAATTTAGGTTTATGTCCTGCTGTTGTGTACCATATCGAACATGAAATAAAATTTAGGTTTATGTCCTGCTGTTGCGTACCATATTGAACTAATGAAATGAAATTCAGTTTTAAGTCCTACTGTTGTGTACCGTATCGAACTAATGAAATGAAATTCTGTATTTCCTGCTGTTGTGTACAGTAATGAACTAATGAAATGAAATGGAGTTTTACATCCTATTGTTCTGTATCTTATTGGGCTAATGAAATGAAATAGAGATTTATATCCTACTGTTCTGTATCTTATTGGGCTAATGAAATGAAATTCTGTATGTCCTGTATAGAAATGTGACCAAAGGGAGGCTACTCACGAATAAAGTGTGATTCAGACCACAATGTTTTCATTCTTAAAGCAACTGCTTCACATTGACTCTTTTTAATCATAGGCCTATTTCTTTTCGATACAAAGATCTACAGTCAGTAAAATTCTCTTTCTCCATTTAAAAGATTCTTTTCAAAGATAAAGCATCGGAACTGAAACAAGTAAGCCATTAATATTTGACAGAAAGTTAACATTCTAGTTTTCAAATTACAGCACAGAGATAGAAGAACACATAAAGGGGGGTAACTACAGTTTCCAATATTTCCAGGCATTGAAAGACTCGGACCACAAAATATATCTGTACTTTCTCCGTCCCTTTTTCAGTTTAAGTATGAAAAGATTTGTCAAATTCTTATAGACATTAACGTATGTTCATGACTTCTGGACTAAATTTATTTTGTATTTCAATTCTTTGTGGTCTGTAAATATTTAATTATTGTGGAGTTGTATCCCTTATAACCAGAAGAGGGAAATAGGGCTAAAATAGAGTTATTGCCCATCATGCATACAAATTCTTTAGTTATGTTAAATATTCATTTGCCGTTTTACTTATCATGTTTTTTTTAGGTATCTTGTCCAAGAGGAGCCATATTAAGCTAGACACAACGAACGATTTTCCTTAGTCTCCAGAATGCCCTCACGAGCACAAATGACTTCACTTACTTCAAAATATAGTTAATATGTGTTATAATTTTTTAAAATCAAATGGCTTAAAAACTCTGGAAAGGACATTGCAGAAAGGTCCTGAATCATAAAAATTGATGACGATATATGCACTCGCAAGGTTATCAGAGATGTGCCTATTCAAATTGTTATAAAAGGTCTGGATGTTCTACGAAGCTGGAAAGATTAGACCATCGCTTTAAACAGCCACTGTAACAGTTATTTCTACGAATAATTTCATTAACTTGTGTAGACGGGACAAATTTATAAAAAGTTGAATTAGTAGGAATTTTTAAAATCAAATTCATCTTGTTATCGTCTGCCAATGAATTGAAAACGAGGTTAACGTCTGTGTAGATAATGAAAACGAGGTTAAGAAAGTGTATTTTAAAATGTCGTTTATAAGAAAATTAATTTGGTAGTTGTCGTGGAAATAAATTAGTAGAAGACTTTCACGTGATAAATGGAAAAGAAAACATATCTATTATGTTAGTGAATTTATTGGCTGGAATACAAAGTGTTACTTTGTGATAAAATTACATCTCGAAACATATTTCTAGTTCGGAAATTGTCGAAGCGATGCATGCGACAGGGACGCCTGGGACGGTTTTTTTCTCTCTTAACCTACCTCCACACACCACAACCACCCCACCTCTCCCCAAATTTAAGAGGGATATTAATACAATTGGTAAAAAGGAGTTTATGTCTTACTATTCTTTTCCAGATTGGGCTAGTGAAAACGGGCAGAGCAAGACAGTGCCTCAATTTATTGTCACCCCTAAACGGCGACACGCTACGACTCTTCCATCTGAAGGGATCATCTCAACCAATGTCAGGATCGAACCCTAAACCCTGGGTTAGCCAACATGATATGTCTAATTCAAATATCATGTTAACAAATTCTGGTAGACCATCGCTTCGCCAAGAAACAATGTCTTCTTGGCTGATCTGATTAAGAGGAAACAAGTTTCGGACTATTTCCAACTAAGATACACACGAGATTGAGATTCAACAGATTTGTGTCACGTGACTAGAATACATTGGTGTCGGTTTGATATCTCGACCCTGGCTGACCCCGACACACCGATACACGTAACTTGTTACCAAACACCGAGATTTGTTAATCTGCATTCCGAGTTGACTAGAGTCGAGCACCATGCCAACACGTGTCGCTCGGTTTCACCATATTTGGCGAGACGGGGAAACCAATCGAACGCACGCGTCTTGTTGTAAGTTAACGACATCGTTAATTGGGCTTTCGGATTGACTGATTTGCAGGAGCTGCTAAGATTTTATTTGGCGGTTAGAACATTTATAGTTTTTAACAGGCTCATTAAAAAAAGATTAAGCAAAAGATATACAGTCGTAGTAAGTGCTAAATTTTTCTTATATTTTGGTATATTAGTCTAAAACAGAGTTAAAACTCAATGTTATGGTAAATTAAAAAATGAAAATCAGACTGTTTTTGAAAAAAATGTGATAAAAATATTTTTGGGAGAATTTGGCTCATCCCAGTTATTATTAATTGATTAATCTATAATCCATGAAATATGAGCCACCAAAGCTCTTGAAATAAGTTAGATTATCATGGTCATTGATTAACATATACAGGTGCCTGACCACAAAATTTCTATTTAAAAATCTCCTCATGTATAATTTACAATAAGTAATAAAAATTTACAGCCTCTTTAAGAGTTAGACGTAAAACCAGTGGAATTTCTAGGAAACATTCAGTGAGGGTACGGACAGGGGCCACAAAATACTCCCGGGGGTCTCATATGACATTCTTTCACTATGAAAAATAATAAAATAATTTGAAAGCGTGTGTGTAGGGGAGGGGGGGAGGCAAACCCGGGCCAGCCTTTTTTTCTGGTTGACATATAGTACGCCACGACGTGCAATTTTAAGTGCTTAAGTGTTATGCTGACATACTAATATAATACTAGTTGTATATGTAATGTAATACGTAATTCATATCTATTTGTTAAGTATGAATTCAAAACTTTACAGAGTTTCATTTGAGCACAATCGTTATTTCGAGATGTTTCAATTTATAGTAAAAATGTGATTAAAATCCAATATAAAGTTAATTTGTTAGCTGGTATTTCTCAACACCCTCCAATCAAAAAATCAAAATGTTTTCTGTCTTTCAGTGAACAGTTTAAATCCTTAACTTGTCATTGCCGTGTCGTTCTCACTACGTTTATTGTTAGTTTGAAATTACACAGATCTTAGTGTATATTTTTTCGATTTCCTTTTCAAACAATTTCTTTGTTTCACTGCGATATTCATTGACATTTCGACGTATCATTGTGCGATGGGGACAACTTATATAAATACATCTTTTGGGATCAGGTATGTGTATTCTTAGGTGGCAAATGTATGAATTAACGAATAAATAAATAAATAAATAAATAAATAAATAAATAAATAAATGAATGAATGAATGAATGAATGAATGAATGAATGAATGAATGAATGAATGAATGAATGAATGAATAAAGTTTCATTTGAAAATAAAAAAAATGAATGAATGAATGAATGAATGAATGAATGAATGAATGAATGAATGAATGAATGAATAATTAAATAAATAAATAAATAAATAAATAAATAAATGAATGAATGAATGAATGAATGAATGAATGAATGAATGAATGAATGAATGAATGAATGAATGAATGAATGAATGAATAAAGTTTCATTTGAAAATAAAAAAAATGAATGAATGAATGAATGAATGAATGAATGAATGAATGAATGAATAATTAAATAAATAAATAAATAAATAAATAAATAAATAAATAAATAAAAATAAAATAAAATAAAATAAAATCCAATAAAATAAATAAATAAATAAATAAATAC